AGGGTGAGCAGCACAAGTTTCTCAGGAAAGCCCTTAAAAAGAAGGAGATGGGGGAGGAAGAAAAGAACAAAGAGGACAAGAAAAGGAAGTCTCTCCTTTGAAGCCTTCCATTAATCCAGATAGTTTTCCATGAGTCAGTTACCCTAACCTAAAATCATGAAATAATTTCTGGCTCTCCTACTCCCTACCAGTGATATAAGAAATTGTTAATTAACCTGTTGCTGAAAACTGAACTCACATAGAAGATCGCCATTCTCATAAGCTTTTACTGGCACATGGGTAACTCTAAGACCTGAAAAAAGTCATCAAGGATTGAATTTTGAATGGTAGCCTATCAGTCCCAATGACAGATGGTTTGAGTGTCAGGAAGCTTCGGTCCTATCACACACAAAGATGACCAGAACGCCTGCAAATATGTGCGTTGGCCTTGACCTGGGTATCAGCAATTATCTGCATGGCTTCTCTCCAAAGTTCCTCCCTGGGTGTACACTTTCAGCTCTCGAGGTCCCACAGTTTAAAATCAGACACCACCTAAGCTTCAAGAAAGTAAAAATGGAATCAGATTTAGGAAGCATGTAGAGATATGCCAGAATAACCACATCACAACAAAAGCAGCTCTAACAAAAGTCGGTGTCAGAGAGAAAGAAGACACATCCGTTAGTTCTCTGTGATAACCTGCTCATATGTTTGAATATGTTCAACTTTCTCCTAAATTTTATGCCCAGAACCACCCAGAGTAGCTGCATGCAGACCTCTCTAGATGCCTTTATGTCCATGTATGTTTTGTTCTTGAATAAAGATTTTTCTTTCTCTATTGAATTTGTTGAATCACTCAGTTCGAAGGATTTGTTCTAACTCAAGCTTCTTTTCAGTTGGCATATTGTGATACTGTCATTCAGAGAGACCTGCTCTTGCTGTCGTCAAGAGGAATATTTTATTCTGCCCTAACCTCTTCAGCCCATTTACTATTGTTAGCCTCAGCAAGGGCACTGCAATGATTCAAGTCCTTTACTAACACCCTCTATGACCCTTCATTAATTCGTTCTTTTCTAATTTAGAACCATGTACAAGACAGAAGACGTGCTGTCCGAACCATCAATCAGCTCATCCTTAGAGATTATGATAAAGTTAATGATAAATGTTCATATTTGTCATTTCAAAGATATGCTTAAGGATCTTCTTTTCCAAATTTTTACTGCAAATTTCTAATTCCACATTGTCAATTAAAGTATTCTTTCACCTCAGCATTGTGTGCTAAATATACAGGTAGAATACTCTCTTATTCAAATACTCTGCAATTTCATGCCTCTTTCAATTTCCCCTTTATGAATCTTCATGTAATTTTCCTGGTTTTCATATCTTAAATTATCTTCTCTGCCTCACAGCTTCAAGTAGAAAAATAAAGACCTCCTTTGGGTTGACATTTAAAGGTTTATTATTCTCTCTTTGATATATGAGCTTAATGCTCATTAACACTAAAATGAACCAGCTGAGAAGAGGGAAAAGAAAAAAAAGCTGCCTTCAAAGATCCTGGGATAAATAATATAACACTCTCTTCCTTCCTCCTGACTACAATGATATTAACCAATTCCACATTCCTGCAAGGTAAGCTTTTACAAATTTAATACTGTCTGTTTTAACTCTTCAAAGCGATGCAAATACTGCCCTGGAATCTGGTTGCTTTGTTAGAAATTCTTTTTCCTCAAAATAGGATTAACACAGCCTCTTCCATTCCATTTTTCTAGAATTGCCCCTTAAGATTAAATTTAAAGCAGCCTCTAAACATTTATTTGAAATTTATATAAAGCATGTAGTCCTTTAGGAAACATCATCATGTGATCCTCTTGAAATTTGGGGGGCTCCAATAGTTGAGGAAATTTTTAAATTAAAAACTTAATATAGGTAGTTAAAGTAATATTTTTCATTCATCATGTTTCCAAAATCCCCTTGTGGTCTGTATATTTACCAGTTTCTTCCTGTGTAGATTTCTTTCTTCTATCTGAATATTTTAGGTGAATTCAAATTTACCCAGCCTCTGCCAGGAACTACTGGGAACACAGTTTGTTTCTCTGGCCCGTTAAAATCATGCTTTTTCACTCTGCATCAGCCAAGAAACATCCTGCCAAATAAGTCTGCTGGTGATTTGATATAACTTCACAGGTGACCTATCATATATGAATCATGTATTATGTATTGGAAATAGTTCAAAAAGGCTGCTGAGTTTCCTCTCTCCATAATGAACTTCCAATTCCTAAAACAACATTAAATCCTAGGATTTCCTGAGATGGAAAACACTCGGATTTCCTGGAACAACTATTAAATTCCCCAAAGGGATAACAAGCTGCTCATTTTGCCAATGGTCACAAGTCATTCTTCAGAGATCTTATCCTCAGTGGATAGGTTTCTATGCACAATGACAGTCTACAAAACAGAAGCTCTCCAGAATAGGAAACATAGGCACTACCTCCCATTGGTGCTAATTTCAATTCCTACCTGAGGTCCCCTTTCCAGAATTTTCCACTTGCTCCATTTCTCCATCCTCAAGTTTCAGTGATTAATGCTGATCAGGATTATCTCAGGGTTCTGTTTTGTGTAGCAGACTGCATGCAGAGATAATAAGATAGCTAGAGTTTGCATATCTGATGGGCCTCACTGCTTCAGCAGTCTGGATAGTGGAGCAACATTTTCCATAAGCTTGTCTGATAAGTAAAGTCAGACCTGGCAGGTCCTGTAACACAGGCTTTGCTCTGTCCTGTGGCCGACACAGAAATGAGGACAGCTGACTAGAAACCAAAAGTCAGATATATTAAATCCCAAATGTATCTTCCTCAATTTGATAAGACATTTGTTAGCATTTAATGTTCAGGTTATATCAGTGCTTCTCAGAATAGAATGGATCTGTGACTCTGAGAATCTTCTTAGGATGCAGATTCTGATCCCCCGAGCTGGGATTTGATGTGAGATTCTGCATTTCTAACCAACCACCTCCCAGAGGATGCTGGTCCAAAGCTGGTCCACAGATTACACTTTGAAAAACAAGAGATCCTAGAAGTTTAGAAGTTCTCAGACTTTTCACGTGTAGATGAATTCCCTGGGGAAATTGTTTAAAATGCAGAGTCCAAATTCCATGCCCTGAGGGTCTCAGGTGGAGCCCCAGCTCCAGGGTATCAGCAGACCTCCCTGCAGTTGAGGGTGTGCTAGATCCAACTTTGACGTTAGACCAAGGTGCCAGCCACTCTTGGCTTTACAATCTACCCAATCTGTGATCTGAAATAAGTGATTTAACATTTTTTAGGCATAGTTCCCAACAACTGTAAATGGGTTTTGTATTGTCTGTTCTGTCGGTGCCCTCATATTGCTGAATCGTTCTGTATGTTCACAAGCCATACAGATGTAAGTTTCTGGCGGCCCTCGGAAATCATTTCCAGATCATTTGATACTAAGGTGTCACCACCTTCTGCCTGAAGTAGGGCCCGCCCCGCTTTTCTGTCCTTTGAAATAGTCAAAGCGGATCCCAGGAATATGTTCTGAGGGAGTTCTGGAACCTCACCAGGAAGCCTCAGATGTCGAGAAAGACACAGAGGTGGGCTTCACCCATGTCAGTGTTGGCTTCAGAACCGTTGCAGATGCAAATTTGAACCCATAAAGCACCTGTGCCCTAAAAGATCACTTTTGTCTTCATGCTCCAATAATATCTTTGATCTTCTTTTGTTCTTCAAACCTACAGCTTTGGTTTAAAGACCTTACAATACACTGACGAAACTTTCTTTTTTCCCTCCCTGCCTAGTAGAAAGAGAGGATCAGTGATCCTCGTGCTTGCATCCGCTATGTTTCTGAGGCTAAAGTGGTGACAGTTTTTGAAAAATTGAAAACAATGCAAGTATCACGTAGCACTCTAGTTCTTCCATTTCTTCCATTTCATTGAACATCTATTCAATCTCACAGTTCCATCGGCCTGCAGAATACGTCCTCTCATCTTTCTGTGTGCCCCCCCTTCCACCCTAGCACCTCACATTCAACATCTGTTGCTTATTCAAGATGCAGGAAAACTCCCTTTTGGGAGAGATCATAATCCAAAGACGTGAGTGCACAACCGCTTGGAAATAATGATCTGAGCCAATACAAAACATTAATTTAAAAAATAAAATTAAGTGAAACTGAATATGTAAAAATGTACTGCATAGTATCTGAATCCACATTCATGCCAAAATATGGACACACACACACATACATGCTTTGAAGCTTTGAAATCTTTTATAACTGAAAAGGGTTTCACATGCAGAGGTTGCACTGAGCTCAGTTGAGTCGGTGAGTCTGTGAGACTTGGAGGAGGCAAGATGACTCCTGGAGCCTGAGTGTGGTGAAGGTCTCCAGGAAAGATCTTCCCATCACACATGCTCACCCAAGATCAGCTTCCCCGGCAGACTTATTCCTGAAATTGTAACCTTAGAAGGTTTTTTTTTTAAGAAAGAAAGAAGGAAGGAAAGAAGGAAGGAAGGAAAGAAGGAAGGAAGGAAGGAAGGAAGGAAGGAAGGAAGGAAGGAAGGAAGGAAGGAAGGAAGGAAGGAAGGAAGGAAGGAAGGAAGGAAGGAAGGGAAAAGAAGGAAGGAAGGAGGGAAGGAAGGGAAAGGAAGGAAGGAAGGAAGGAGGGAAGGAGGGAAGGAGGGAAGGAAGGAAGGAAGGAAGGAAGGAAGGAAGGAAGGAAGGAAGGAAGGAAGGAAGGAAGGAAGGAAGGAAGGAAGGAAGGGGAAGGAAGGGGAAGGAAGGAAGGAAGGAAGGAAGGAAGGAAGGAAGGAAGGAAGGAAGGAAGGAAGGAAGGAAGGAAGGAAAGAAGGAAGGAAGCAGCCCTCCCTGGTCACTCCTGGCCCTGGTTGGGGTGTGTGTGCAGGAGACTACAAACTGGTGTGTCTCTCTCACATCCATCTTTCTCTCTGTGTGTGTCTCCTCTCGCTTCCACTCTCTCTAAAAATCAATGGGGAAAAAATACTCTGAGTAACTAGATGGCTGCGGGTGACAGGGGTCCTTCGGGCCGCTGGCCCAGATGGCTGGGGCATCACTGCCCAACCTTACGGGGCCCCTTGTCCTACCAAAGCGAGGCCACGGGACACCAGTGCCCAGCCTGGGAGCCGGGAGAACCCCGCACAGAAGGCAGCCTCGCCCAAGGGAACCTGACTGGGTGGGCGGCGGTGCCCGGGTTCCCCTCGGCGGGTTCGGGGCCCTGTGACGCCAGAAGGCGACGCGACCCGTTCCCTGCGGCGCTGCCCCGCGGCCCGGCTCCCCGACCAGCCCAGAGGCCCGCGTCCTCCTCTCCGAGGTGTCGGGGCGGACGCCAGCCTCTGCCTCCGTGTCCCCCGATGGCGGCGGCGGCGGCGGCGGCGGCGGCGGCGGCGAGCAGCAGCGGGTCCAAGACCGAGTTCATTGTGGGAGGGAAATACAAGCTGGTGCGGAAGATCGGGTCCGGCTCCTTCGGGGACATCTACCTGGCCATCAACATCACCAACGGCGAGGAGGTGGCGGTGAAGCTGGAGCCGCAGAAGGCGCGGCACCCGCAGCTGCTGTACGAGAGCAAGCTCTACAAGATCCTGCAGGGCGGCGTGGGCATCCCGCACATCCGCTGGTACGGCCAGGAGAAGGACTACAACGTGATGGTCATGGACCTGCTGGGGCCCAGCCTGGAGGACCTCTTCAACTTCTGCTCCCGGAGGTTCACCATGAAGACGGTGCTGATGCTGGCCGACCAGATGATCAGCAGGATCGAGTACGTGCACACCAAGAACTTCATCCACAGAGACATCAAGCCCGACAACTTCCTCATGGGCATCGGCCGCCACTGCAACAAGCTGTTCCTGATCGACATCGGCCTGGCCAAGAAGTACAGGGACAACAGGACGAAGCAGCACATACCCTACAGGGAGGACAAGAACCTCACCGGCACGGCCCGCTACGCCAGCATCAACGCCCATCTGGGCATCGAGCAGAGCCGCCGGGACGACATGGAGTCCCTAGGGTACGTCTTGATGTATTTCAACAGAACCAGCCTGCCGTGGCAAGGGTTAAAGGCTGCCACAAAGAAACAGAAATACGAGAAAATCAGTGAGAAGAAGATGTCCATCCCCGTGGAAGTTCTCTGTAAGGGCTTTCCTGCAGAGTTTGCCATGTACTTGAACTACTGCCGTGGGCTGCGCTTCGAGGAGGCCCCGGATTACATGTACCTGAGGCAGCTCTTCCGCATCCTTTTCAGAACCCTGAACCACCAGTACGACTACACGTTTGACTGGACCATGTTAAAGCAGAAAGCAGCCCAGCAGGCAACCACCTCCACCGGGCAGGGTCAGCAGGCCCAACCCCCCACGGGTTTCTGAGCATGAATGAAGGAATAGAAGGAACAGTGCAGATGACCCGAGCAGCATTTGTTTCTCCCCAAATCTAGAAATTTTAGTTCATAGGAACACTGGCCAATGGTTGTGGACAACCATTTACTTGGTGTAAAAGAGCTTAATTTCGGTATAAACTGGATCTGAGCAGCATTGGTGATGCTGTGTCCCGAGTTGTAGTCGCTCTCATTGTGAATAATAACCCAGATAGTGAAACCTGGTGTCCAGTTTTCTATTGCATTTTTTTTTTCAAGTGGAAAAGTTAATTGAATGGTTGACACCACAGATGGGTGGAGAAATTGTGCATATGCCAATTTTATTTTTGTTAAGGTCTTTTTCTTTGAACTGTAGTGCTTTGAGATCTCATTTCAGAAGAATGGCATGAACAGTCTTAAGCACAATTATGATGGATGTGCATGCTCACAATGTTTCTTAGGGTTTACCCACCCCTGGGGTTTGCAAGTTGTTCACTCAAAACATTCTTAAAAATGGTTGGCTTCTTGTTTGCAAGCCAGCTAATATGGTAGCAACCAAGATTCCAATGTTTGAGCCTCTGAAAGACTGTCTGCTAACCTGTGCTAGAAATAACAGCATCTAAAGTGAAGACTTGAGAAAAACATACTGACTACTAGATTATCCCTAGGATTCTGCATTAACTCTATAATCTTGGTATTAAGAAAAAGCATATGGTAATTTGTCACAGAAATTTAGTTAATATCTTAAAACTGAATATGTATGTATGTTGCTTAGGTAAATGTAATCACTGTAAATATCTACGTAATCTGGGATTTTTTTATTTTGAAATGGGAGTTGTTTGTTTACAAGTTCATTAAAAATTAAAAACTGTTTCTGGAAAAAAAAAAGAAAATATCCTCAGTTGTGGATTAACAAAAGAAAAAAAGAAGAAAGAAAAGAGCACATGCTAAACTTTGTCAATGGTTTGCTCCTCCCTATGAGTGAGTCTGTGTGCTTCTTTCAGAGAGATTTCTGTATGCAGTTTCCTATGACAAATTACTACCAGCTTAGTGGCTCAGTACAACACAAATTACTTATTTTACAGTTCTGGAAGTCAGAAGTCAAAACTGGGTTTCACAGGGCTGCATTCCGTTTGGAAGCTCTACTGGAGAATCCATCTCCTTGCCTTGTCTAGCTTGTAGAAGCCATCAACATTCCTTGGCTCGTGAATGCTTCCTAAATCCTAGCCAATAGCCCAATTTTTCTTTCTTTCTTTGAGCTCTGTTTTCATCTACATAACTTTTCTGACTCTTCTACTTCCCTCTTCTACCTTTTAAGGACTCTGGAGATTATACTGAGCCAATCCAAGTAGTCCAGGATAATTTCATCTCATGGTCCTTAATCACATCTGCAAAATCCATGTTGACATATAAGATAACATATTTATAGGTTTCAGGAACATCCATTATTCTGCCTACCATGATTTCTAGAAAACAACAGTATAAAGGGTTGGTTTTGCTAACAGGGCCCAGGAAGTAAAGGAGTGAGAAGGCAGGACCTGGATAGAAATGGGTAGGACACCAAAAATAAAGATAATGAGCACCCAAGAAAGAGAAGGTATTCCCAAATTGGGGAATAACAAAAAGGTAAATAGTGATTAAGTAAAAAAAAAATTTTTTTTCATAGTTTTCATAGAGCTTGCTACAAAATAAAAATATATAGGCAATAAGCAGAAAAATGTTCATCACTATCTATAATAATAAAAGCATCATATGCTAATTAGACCAGACATCCTTCCACTGGCCTTCCAGATGAAGCCAAGGCTGTGAGGGAAGCCTAGGTCCTCGGTCCCTGCCAGCAGCTAGAGGGAAGCCCACGTCCCAGGTGCCAGAGGGAAGTTGGTGCCAGCAGCCAGGGGAAGGAAGGACTACTCTTGCACAAATTTTATGCATCATACCTCTAGTCTATATATATAAAAGGCTAATAATATACTAAACGTCCAACCATCCAACCAGTTGCTAGGATGCACATTGACCACCAGGGGGCAAATGCTCAATACAGGAGCTGTTGAGCTGCAGTGACTTGGCAGTGCTGGTTCTCAGGTGACACACCCCGAAACCAGAAAGGAGGCAGCCTGATTCCTCGTGGGGCCACATGATTCCACCTTTGGCCGTGGGTTTTGTTGTTGCTGACGCACCATCAGCCCCCAATCTGGTTTACTGTACACTTGCATTTGTGCTCCACACCCTGTTCAACAGCAACCTTGCAGAGTTCCCTCCACATACCGGGAGCCTTCGGGGGATGTCAGAGAGTTGGTCTCGGCCCTTCTCTGCAGACCAGGCTGAGGGACCCCACCTGAGGAACCCAACTCACCTGCAGATGCTGGGGGAGGACCAGTGGAGGTTGGCTCCAGTGTCCAGCCCTTCTCACCCAGTCCTGCCCTGCTGGTCACCGTCTAATTAATTTCCTTTCAATGTGTACAAATTTGAGCACTGGGTCACTAGTAGCTACACTAATAAAAGAGAAAGATGTAAATTGATTGTACCTCTGCTACACCACCAGCCAATGATGAGCAAGTATGCAAATTAACCCAACAAAGATGGCAGCAGCCACAAAGGTGGAGTTAGCAGGAGGCTCGGGTTGCCCTAGCCATGGAGAAAGCCAAGCTTTCCACTGGCCCTGGCCTCTGCTCAAGGCTACAAAATTTCAATTATAGAAGATAAATAAATCCCAGATACCTGCTTCCAGCTCTGCTCAAGGAGAAGCTGAAAAAAGAAAGAAAGAAAGAAAGAAAGAAAGAAAGAAAGAAAGAAAGAAAGAAAGAAAGAAAGAAAGAAAGAAAGAAAGAAAGAAAGAAAGAAAGAAAGAAAGGAGGGGCTGGGAGCCTGGGTTGCCAGGGGGTGTGGCCAGCCTGAAAATGGCCCTCTGCCCCTTACTCAGGCTGGCCACACCACCATGGGGGGCTTGACCAGCTTGCAAACAGCCATCAGCCCTTCACCCTGACTGGCTAGGCATCCCAATGGGACTCCCACCCTGATTTGGGACACCCTTCAGGGCAAACCAGCTGGCCCCAACCCGTACACCTTTATTATCTATACTAATAAAGGGGTAATATGCTGATTAGACTGGGAAACCTTTTAGGCATTCTTCTGGACAAAGCCATGGTGGCAGGGCCAAGATAGAGGCAGTTAGAGGCCAAGAGGAGAAGGCAGTTTTGGGTAATCAGGCCAGGATGGGACAGCAGTTGTGGGTGATCAGGCTGGGGGAGCAGGACTATTGGGGGTAAGCAAACCAGCAGGGAGGCCATTTGGGGATGAGCAATCCATTATTGGGAGTCTGTTGGAGGTGATCAGAAAAGCAGGGGGGCAGGCAGTTTGAGTTAGAAGGCCAGCAGGGGGACAGTTGAGGGCAAGCAGGCCAGTGTGGAGGGGAGGTGGGAGCAGCAGGCCAGCAGGGGGAGGGGGGACAGCAGGCCAGCAAGGGGGGGGGGGGGACAGTTGGGGGCAAGCACATTGGCATGGGGGGGGGCAGTTGGGGGTGATCAGGCTGGTGGGAGGGGGGATTTGGGGATGAGCAGGCTGGCAGGCAGATTGTTTAGGGGCAATCAGGCAAGCAGGTAAGTGGTTAGAAGGCAGAAGTCCTAGACTGTGAAAGGGATGTCTGACTGCCGGTTTAGGCCCGATCCCTGTAAACCAGCAGTAGGACATCCTTTGAGGGATCCTAGACTGGAGAGGGTGGAGGCCGGGCTGAGGGACACACCCCCACCTGCACAAATTTCATTCACGAAGCCACAAGTATAAAAATATGCATATATCCATATCTGATGAGAATTATACTGCTTGTTTTTGGTAGGGTCATATGAATAATTTTTTTCTTCCTCTTTTTTTTTGTAATTTCTCTGCATTCTACCTTCTAAATATTCTCCCCTTTTGCTGTAAACTGCCTTAGTCCAGGTTACATTGCTTATCCCTCTAAAATTTTCTCTTATTTTCATGTTTGTTCTTTTAATCCATTCTTCAAACAACATTTAAAAATATCATTCTAATTGCTTATCTGCCACCTTAACCCCTCTTCTCCTCAAACCTCGGGTCTTTGCTGGCTTTTCTCACTGATCTTCTTAATGGTCCTTGCAGCTAGACCACCTGCCACGCCCTCCATTGTCTCCTGAATACCTCCATTACTATTTCATACTGTCTTGACATTCCACTAGACCAGTGGTAGGCAAACTCATTAGTCAACAGAGCCAAATATCAATAGTACGATTGAAATTTATTTTGAGAGCCAAATTTTTTAAACTTAAACTTCTAGTGCCACTTATTCAAAATAGATTCACCCAGGCCATGGTATTTTGTGGAAGAGCCACACTCAAGGGGCTAAAGAGCTGCATATGGCTTGCAAGCCACAGTTTGCCGACCACTCCACTGGACTATATCACCATAAAGGCAAGGATTGCTATACCCAGCATTTGATTTGATGGCCATAATAATAATTCTTAGTAAATGTGCTTAATAAGTAAATGCACCACTTTTTAAATAAAAATACAGACAGCATAGCTTTTCCTCTATTCTCACACAGAAATTTTAGAGGGTGCTTCTGCCCTCACCAACACACCTTTGCCAATCACTTTTTCCAGGATAGAACCTTAGCAGTGAGAGCCCAATAGTCATTGGTCCATATCATATATATTATATATATATTTATAATATATTATATATATTATATATTTATATAACATTATATATTATATATATTTATATATGTATATATATAAATTTTATATATACATATATTATATATATAAATATATATGTATATATAGATTGTATATATAAATATATATATAAATATATATTTATAAATTTATATATATATAAATTTATATATATATAAATTATTTATATATATATAAAATTTCAGAGAGGCAGGAAGAGGGAGAGACGGTTCAATTCAACCAAGTGGTAGGTGTTTTTCCTACATATCCCTAATTATTAGTTTTTTATACAAATTTAACAGATTTAGTACTTTATTTTTCT